TGTCATCCAAGTGGGTTTGCTTTAGATGGCCCCTTATTAAACCAGGACCCACAAAGGCAAAGGAAGACTTTTATTTTAGGTAAGTAGGAATGGTTTTTAAACTTGGGTAAATACCATTTTGCTCTTCAAGGATTCAAAAAATTTTAATTTATCTGCTAAATGATTAATTTTTTTATATTATCCCCTCATAAAAATAAAAATATTGTAATGTGCTCCACCATCTTATTTTTGTTTAATCGTCCTTCTATTTTGTTATTTTTGATTGGTTAATTTAGTACAAAACAAATGGATGACCAAACGGAAATAAGATGGTAGACCATATTATAATATTTTTAATTCTTTAAAGAGGCAATGTAAGAAAAATTAGTCATTTAAATGACAAACTGAGAATAATTATAGCTTTCAGCAGGGAAAATGAGATTTTTCCTTTAAACTTTGATAAAAACTAAGTTTTGTAAGTGTTTCAAACCAGAGTAGATAACCCAAAAAAATAAAACTAGAGTGGATGACCAAACTTTGGGACAACTTGCCTGACTTGTAGGTCCGGCGGCACAAAAGGGACACCAATAGAGAAAAGTAGAAATCCTACGCCTTTTTTTTTCTTCTTAATATAAATGGATAAAATTTAAATCTAATTGTAACCTAATCAGATTGGAATCCAATTTATATTATTTGATAAATATTCTTTTTACATATTATTTTGAATCTTCTAAAAATTTAAAAAATAAGTCGATCTAAAAGGACTTAATTAAATTATATCTTAAAATTTCAAACTAAACTCGACTCAAATTTATCTTATGTTTAAATACATATATCTATATAATAAAATATCTTACAATTCAAATCTCAAAAGATAAACAAAATGACTTTTGTTATTCGCGGTTGAGATCGCTTTAAATTTTACTTTAAAGTTAATCTAACGGCTAATATTAACACTCCAAATTTAATAGTAAAAATAGGTCCCTAAAAGTGTATTTAGAGTGACTTTTTAAAAGTATTTTTAGAAATTATTTCTTATAAATACTTTTAAAAAAAATAATGTTTAAAACCGCTTCACCATTTGACCAAAAAAAAAAAAAACCGTAGCACTACAACCTCTACCCCCACCCCCCACCCCCACCATCGTTGTCGTCGTTACCACCACCACCATCGTCGTCGTTGCCACCACCACCACCCCCGCCCTAGCCACCACCACCACCCCCACCACCGTCGTCATCGCCGCCACCACCACCGCTATCGTCGTCGTCGACAACACCACAACCATCGCTGCTACCCTCACAACCACCACCACCACCATAGTTATTGTCATCCACCACAATCATAACCGTCTCTTATCACCATCACTGCTACCTACCACTTCTCACCATTATTATGTGTCTTCAGGTAGAGGTAATAACTAGTCTATCTAATAAAGTATAATACAATTCAAATTTCAAAAGATAAACAAAATGACTTTTGTTATTCGTTGTTGAGATCATTTTAAAATTTTCTTTAAAGTTAATCTAACGGCTAATATTAACACTTTAAATTTAATATAAAAAATAGGCTCCTAAAGTTGTGTTTGGAGTGACTTTTTAAAAATATTTTTAGTAATTATTTTTCATAACTATTTAAAAAAAAAAATAGTGTTTGGAACCGCCCCACCACTATCTCTACCACCTCCACCGCTTTACCACCACCACCACTCCACCACTATTGTTGTCGTCGCCGCCGCCACCATTATTGCCACACTACCATACCCATCACCTCACAACTACCACCACCGTCCCACCACCACCAACACTTCCACCGCCCCACCACCACCATCCCATCCACCATCGTTGTCACACCTTACTATTACCACCATCGCTGTCGCACCTTGCCGCCACCGTTACTGTCCTACCATCACCCCCATTGTCCCACTACCACTATCCATAACCATCACAAGTATCACCACTATTACTGTCTCACCATCATCTCCACCACCACTTCTATGACCATCACAACTTCCACCACCATCGCTAACCCACCACCGCCACTCCCAACATTATCACTACCCCACCTCCACCCCAGCCCACCCTCACTGCCCCACTGCCACCATTATTATCATCGTCATCCACTACCGATTGTTACCATCGTCGCCTATGGTCACCACCCACCACCACTGTCATCTTATTCTTATATTTATTATTGTTATCACCATCACCCTACTACCACTGACGCCCCATCGTCGCCCACCATCGCCACCAGCCACTATCACTATCCCACCACACTAACCACTACCACCTATCATCGTCCACCACTACAGTCACCCATTGTCACCTACCATCACTATACTTACCACTGGTACCATTTGTCACCACTCATCACACTGTCACCTAAAAACACCTATCGTCACCCATCACTATCGTCATCGTCCTACCATTTCCACTGTCAACTACCATTACCGTCGTCCACTACCACCACCATTGTCATCCACGTCTGTCACTACTATTATCGTCACTTAAAACCTACAATCACCATCACCATTGCCACCCACAGCTGCTATCGCCACCACACTCGTCGTTTCACCCACCATAACCATCACTATCTCCAACCATCACCACTGTCTCCCACCACCAGTACCACCGCTCACCCCTACTATAATCAGTGTTTAAATTTTTTTCTCTCTCCTCTATATTTGTGAATTGATTTTGGGCGTAAATACAAATATGTTGACCATTTTTTTTTATTACTTTATACCTTCAAATACGAGGAATAATTAGTCTCTTATAAGACAAATCATCATCTAAGCGGACATAAGTGTATCTGAATCGAAATGAATTGTTCAGATCCTAGTTGACTATTCTTGCCACTAATTCAGACTTCATTATAATAGTTATATATCACACTTGCAATAATGATAAATTATTGCATATAAAAAAAATTAAAATCTATAAAATAATACATAGTGGATGAATCCAAAATTCAGTTATCACAGGTCGTTTTAATTTTTGTTGTGGACATAAGTACTTGTGCTCTAATATGAACAACATTTAAAAAAAAAAAAATTACTATCGTTTAGTCTTGATTTGAGCTTAAAACATCGAAAATTATTATAAGTAGTAAGACTTTTCTATTCGAACTATGTGATGAATTAGACTGTCCACCTTTCTAAGTAAAACAAGAGTAATAAATTAGTAGACTCTCTATAACATAAAGATAATATAAAATAAAATGTGTTTTAATAAGTTTATTTGATGATTTTAAATAAATAATTCAACAAATATTAATATTTTTATCAAAACTATTCAAATTACATTATAACTTGAGACACAAATTACCCATAGACAATCAAGTTGAAGCCATAACACATTGATTTCTATATTTTTTACCACAAATTTTGGTTTTAAAAACAAATAAAGAAAGAATTGCAGAAGTTGCTGTCTTTTTCATCATGACACATCTTTCACTTCACAACCTTATCTAAAACTCGAGCGTCCTTGCTGTAATACAGATTTTGATAGGGGCATGGGGTGAGTGGGTCGTTGATTTCTATGGGATAGAGACGATACCATGATCTCTTTTTCTCTGTCCAATTGTTGGTTGCTGCGGATAGCAATCATGGAATATCTTCGACGGCTTCTGCATAACACTACCAAAGGCCATAGTGTTTTTTTTTTTTTATCGTATGCTTCCTGTATGATATACCTATTAATTGAACCATTTATCTATTTACCACAGTATTCTGTTTTTAATGTAATTAGAAGAAAGAAATTAATTTATCTCTCATAAATATCATAATCTTGGTATGGATAATCCACATTTAATCGAACCGAGAAGAAATTAGTCTAATTCGAACACCCTTCACTATTAAACCGAAACAAAAAATATTAAGTGTCCTAATTACTTATTACTCTCAATATATTATTTTAATAATTATTCAATAAATATTTAAGAATTGAGATGGAAGAAATATACATGTCCCAAGAGCCAAAAGGTCGAATGCCTCTTTCTGTATTCGTTTATTTGCACTCAACAATTGGCATAAATTTGTGTAAAAGATTTATTCATAAATAAAAAATATTTTAAACATTTTCAATATTTTAATTTATTCTCAATTTTGATAGGAAATTAAATGTATAACAGATTTTAAAATTTTTAATTTACATCCAGAAAAATTATAATTATTACTTTACACCTTCAATTAAATAAGAAAATAACAATATAATCAAAAACCAATTGTTCGTTGCCTATCTTGATATTTTTTTGTGGTATTTATCATATACCATCCTATTTCTATGAACAATTTCTTGAATTATACAAAATTTTAAGTGTTTTTAATGAAAATTTTATGCACATTTTTTTAAAAAAAGTAAATATTAATATAAAAAAGAATAAATATTAATATTACAGGTTTTGACTAAAATATTCCATTATTATTTTCAAGTTAGTTGATCAAATCATCCACTTTCTGGTTGGAGTTCAACAGTTTTCAATGCATTTATTTTATATGAGTTTCTTACTCTTTAAGAATCCGTTTGGTTAGGAAGAAAAAATGATAAAAAATAAAATAAAATAAAATAAAAATATATTTTTATGTATGTATTTGGTTAGAATGAAAAATTTACAAAAAAATTAAAAAAAAAATTATTCTATTATTTGAAAGAAAGTAAAATTATAAGAAATTTTTTATAATCGTCTAAATTATCCTTAATTATATTAAATCGGTTTAGAAAAGAAAAACAATATGTAATTATAATTAAAATTAAATATTTTTTAAACAGTGACTCAAAACCTAGTTTTAAGACGATCACTGATACAAAAATTTTTGGATTAAATTATATGATTAATCAAATTCATACCAAAATTTTTTAAAATTAATAACTAATAAAATATTTTAAGAAAAATAAGAGTAAAATAAAAAGTTAATTATAGATCACAAGTTTTTTGTATTTCCTTGTATTTTTTACAAGAAAAAAAGTTAATTATTTGTGAAAAAATTTAAAAATAAAATAAAATTATTTTTTCTATCATTTTTTTTTTGTGCTAACCAAATACATAAAAATTTTAAAAAATTTCTTTTTTCTTATATTTTCTATCATTTGTTTGCTGAACAAACGAATCCTAAGTAAGGTTTGGTTTATTGAACAGTTGGTCCCAATCTCCTTAGCGCCAATAGATCCATCCAAGTCAATGGTGGTCCAATTCATAACAAAATTCAAATTCCAACCAACCAGAAATTACCTGCAAAAAAAAAAAAAATCATTATTTCAATAGAATAAAAAATAATTAAAATAACAAATAGAAATATAAACAGATAGCTTAACCTCCAGAAGAATACACGTGTTAGTCTTTATGTACGATGACAATACGTACAAACGGAATTAACTACAACCTTCAAGCCACACGTCAAACTTAACGAAGCGGCACATCAATCAAGAAAGTTCCATTACACAACAATCGAGAACGTATAGACTGGTATCTGATCAACAACACCGATTAGATAAAGAAATAAATTAAAATAATATGTCAATTCTTTTCAGAAATTAATTCTGATTAAACATGATTAAGGCCAATTTGATTGCAATTAATTTAATGTGATTAGGCTGAAAACTAGATTGTTCTGCAAGCTTATAGAACTGCCTTCAATGGCTTTGATATATATGCATTTATTATGTATGTATGTACATACAGAAGTCCTCTATTTGAATTTTTAGGGTTTCGGTCACCGGAGCACACAAAAAACCAATCCGTCCGACCTCCACCTCCACACCGGGATCTGACGTCACCACCGCACAATAACCGCCATCTGACGTCAGCTGAGTCTGCTGAGAAACATGAAACTTTCGCCGGCTTTCATCATAACAAATCTCCTTTAGACATGACCGAAAGCCGACTCGGCCTCGGCTGAAACGCGGCTCGCCGTTTTTGCTGATGCGAAGAAGGCCGAATCAACGCCGACAAAGCTCTCTTCACCAAATCGCCTTCGACGGTACCGATTCTCACCAGCGAGTTCGTCATCGCCGACCTCCTGGCGTTCAACCGATTCGAGCTATACGACACCGTCTGAGAGTTTGCCAAATTCTTATGGAAACTACACCGAAACGAGCCAGGATGTGTCGTCGGGGAACACATACAAGTTCTTTTCCGACACGACGCCGTCTGGTTGTTGGTCTGCTTTTTCACTCCTTGATTCCTAGCCGAGACCGAGATCGACCGGTTCGGTGAAATCGGGCGGTCAAGAGAGAGGTGTACGGACGGCGCCGATGAAGCCAACCCATACATGTTCACACGAGTTGGAGAAGTTGATCTATTGAAAAAGGTTGTGGATCGGGAGGAGAAACTTGAACTGGACGAAGCAAAAGCCGCAGACGAAGAGAACGACGTATTAGCACGTGGAGAGTAGAATCTTCCTGAAGGAGAGAGTGATCGGACCACTGGCCCGCTTGATCTGCGAGTCGAAGCAGTAGCCGCCATTGTTGTCACAGTACAAAAAAGGAGGAATTAGGAGGTAGAGAGAGAGAGAAAAAGAGAGGAATAGAAACTCTTGAAAAGCCTTGTTTGGCTATCGAAATTGGCAAACCTTACTTCACTCGAGCTATGTATTTATAGGATCGGAGAAGCGATTTTTGGGATTTATTTATTTTTAAAATTTGGGGATAACGTAGAAGGGGGGTTAGAGTTTGGTTAGGTCTTAACTATGGTTAAGGTTATTGGAAACCGGGTGCTGGATACAAAACGACAAATGACTGCGCCATTTGATTAACGGCTTTTGTGATGGGGAACAGTGGGCTGCCACGTAGTTACCTGCTTTGTAGCGACAGGGTCTGTTTGGATACCACGTAGAAAGGAGCATTTTATTATTCTGATTTTGTGAAGTGGGGGTTTTTTGGGCAATGACTGGGGTATGGGCAAGTCATGTGGAATGACATTGATGTGGGGTAGCCCATAACGAAAGTTACTTAAATTGCCATCTTTAATTATTAGAAGTAATATCTTTTATTGAGATTTAAGAATTTAATTAATAATTAATTAATAATAATTTAGTAGGTGAGTATGTTAAAGTTATAATTGAATTAAGTCATAATCCTCTGATAATAAATTATATTTCTGCCAAATTTAATGTTTATTATCGACACAATAAATTCTAAGTGAATGTAGTTATAAAATTCAATATAAACATGACATGAATCTTACGAATTTTTGTGTAAAAAAGGACAAGATCCGTGTAGGCGAGTTTTTCAAATTATGATAAAAAGTTTTTGAGTTGGATTTTAAGCTGTGATTGTGATAGCGGACAATGACTTACGTGACGATTAATCAAATGGACCACATAAATCTCACACGGAAAGGAAGCGGGTGACAGAGGGGAAACTTCTGCTGCTCTTCTCACACAAAGCAGATACATACAATAAACTGGCCTAAACCGCCTCATTTTGTCATTTTCATGCAGACCCACACTACAATTTCTTTGACACCATGTGATGGCCCCACGTTAATCCAGTGGGCTTGGCCACTTGTAATATGAAGAAGCTTGGTTGGGTAAATAAACATTGATATTAAGAAAGAGCTAAAAAAGTATAATGAAGCACATAAAACAAAAAATCAAGGTTAAAATGTGTATTTGGTAAGATTTGATAGTGTTTAATGCACATCGTTAACCTAAATGGTTTCTTTTTTGAGTTAATTCGAATGGTCAGAGATAGATGGCCAACACAGAAGCACTTTGCAATTTCTCTTTTTGCCATAGTTTATGGAGTGCTAACATGAGGATGGTAAAATGATAATAAGAATAAATTATAAATTTATATGTTTTAAGTTTGAATTTTGATAATTTTTTGGGGTTAGGTCATAAGAGATTTATCGTTTTTATAAATATTATAATTCTGACGTGGATGACTTACTTTTAATCAGATCTAAAAAAAAATAATTAAAATAAACTTAAACTGATTTAAATATCCTAACCGTTTAACCTTAAAAAAAAAATATATATATAGTCGATGGAACGCTTAGAAGGTCATCAGGTCATGCAGTGCCAAGTGGTGTGAGACTAGGGGGTGGCTTGACGGACAAAGTCCATTTGAACAATTGAAGCTTCACGTGTGAACTTTTGACCATTTTATGAGTTCTTATTCCATCCTCGAAATAACTATAAAGTTTTATTCACTCGCATATTTTCCCGTAATTTGAATCTGAATAACAGGCTAGAGAATCAATTCGAGATCGTGATACATAAAATAACCCAAGTCTAGAACAAAACTTGAGGTACCGAAGAATTTGATAAATTGCATCAAGATAAAGCTGACATGACTTGTGCATGAATTGACTAATTCGGCTGACAGTGAATGAAATGTCTAGTCTAGTGTTGGCTAGATAGATAAGTCTACCTACCAACCTCTGATAGACAGTCGAATCTCTCAATTCTTCACCGTCAGCAATAAGTTTCAGGTTTGAAATCATGGGTGATGATGTCGATTTGCACCCCAGCATCCCACTGTCTGAGAGAAGGTCCAGGACATATTTTCTTTGAGAAAGAACAATATCCCTGTTGTTACGGGCAACCTTAATTCCAAGAAAATATTGCAAAAATTCAAGATCCTTCATATCGAAGGCCTTCCCAAGGTCTACCTTGACATGCGCAGTCCCAGAAATATCATCTCCAGTAATAATAATATCATTAACATATACCAAAGGATGACACACTGTCCAAAAGTATTCCATCGAATGAAGCAGGTATGATCAGAATGATATCTGGTGAACCCCAAACGTATGACTACATCACTAAAGTAAGAGAACGAGACTCGTGATGACTGTTTCAGTCCATAAAGAGACGTATGCAGTCAATATACTTTTCCAACATACTCCCTTTCACCATAAAAATCCAGTGGTGCATCCATATAAATAATTTCGTCCAGATCACCGTGAAGAAAGACATTCTTCACATCTAACTGATGAAAAGGTCAAGAGTACTCTGCAGCCAAAGAAATAATCTATTGAACAGTAGTCAATTTTGCCACAGGGGCAAATGTAGCACCAAAATCATAACTTGGTACCTGAGTAAAGCCTTTTGCCACAAGTCTAGCCTTGTGACGATCAATAGTATCATCTGCAAGAAATTTTAGGGTATAAATTTAGCGACAGCCAACAGGCTTCACCCCTGAAGGTAAAGAGACAAGATCTCATGTATGATTATGCTGAAGAGTGTCCATCTCCGTCTGCATGGCAATAACTCATTGGGGCTCCCGCATAACCTCTTAAACAGAGCGAGGAACTGACGTATTTGATAAGGTCATACTATAAGCTCGAAATGTAGGAGACAAATCATAATAAGAAACATAAGCAAAGATCGGATATAAAGTCCTGACAGTCTAACCATAACGAACAACTGGACGGCGATCACGTCGCTGATAACGATGCTCTAAATCATCATCCTCCACTAACAATGTCTTATCAGGTAAAGTTACTGGCTCAGTACCTACAATCTCATCAGTACTAACAACAGGTGCATCAATATGCTCAATAAACTGAGAAGTATTACTTGCATCGCCTGAGGTAGAGGGGACATCAGCAGGGGGATGAGAGCGAGGGCGACGAACATAAACCTATAAAGGAAGAAAGACTAATGACTCTGTACTGACAGGGATAAGTGGCTCTGGAGGAGGAGAAATTGATGACTCTGTAGTGATAGTAACCAATGGTTTTGGCTCCTGTGGTAACGAAAAATCAAAGGGAGTATCATCAACTAGAGGGGCAGACACAGAACTGGAAGAAAAATAAAGAATATGCTCAAAGAAAGTTACATCTAGACTGTGATACATACGTCGCCTAACAGGATTATAACATTAATGGGTAAAAATTTAGTTCAAACTTGGTTTTGACTTGTAAATATATGAAACCGTTTATAATAGAATTTATTCCAACTATGTTTGATATATAAATGTATGTTGTATAAGTTTGTGTTGGTTTTGAAAGGGTTTGAAATGAAAAATAGAGGAAATAAACAAATATGGACAGGACCTACTAGTAGGACCTCCAGGTAGTAAGTTGTCAGTGGATCCGAACTACCGGTAGCTCAACAGGTAGTAAGGTGCCAGTGAATTCGAATTACCGATAGCTTAACAGGTAGTAAGTTGCCAGTAGATCTGAACTACCAGTAGCTCGATGCGAACTACCGATAGATTGTTAAAAAAATCAGAATTTTTATGTTTTAAAACCCCATTTTCACTCCATTTTCTCCCGTTCTTTCACTCCACTCACACCCCAAACCTCTTAAAACCCCAATAGAAAGACTTAGAGAGGAAGAGAGAAAGGGAAAACAAGAGTTTTAAGGGTGATTCAAGATCAAATCTTGTCCTTCACACTAAAGCCAAAGAGAAAGGTAGGAGTTTTCTTCCAATCTTGTACATTGAGGTTAAGGCTTGTATATATGTATTCTTTCACTCTTAATCATATGTATATGGTATGAAATCATGATTTCTTGAGACTTTTGCAATTATTACCATATTTTAAACAAAACTATGGTTATATAACCATGAGATTTCTTTCTTGTCATAAAACTATAGTTTTCAAAAGAAATGGATTTTCCTATTGATTCTTCATTTGTTCTTGACTTTGAAACCTTAGTATTTTGTGTTGAGTAATAAAATGATGTTGTGATAATCTCTTGCTTATTTTATTAAATTGTTCTCTTGTATTACAAATTGTGAGAATTAGAGATTTTGAATTTTCTTGTGTTTTAAAGAAAATATTTGTTATTGCATCCCTTGTATGGTTGTTGTGATGAACTTGAATTACATTCGAGCACTGCTGTAGAGTGTTAAAAGTTAGTCTATCCTAGTGGGGGTGAGATAGTTTCCTAACACTTGTAGTGGTTTATTAATTGTGGGAACAACCGCTATTGTTCACGTAAGTTTGAGCCTGAGGATGTGTATACCTTTTATGGGAAGAATTCGTCAATGTCATGGGAGATGGTATACGCCCTTCTTAAAGTGGTTTGTGTGGATATGATTAGGTGAACGAGGTAGAGTCATTGTGTAGATTCATGGGAAGCAACCAACATATATGAGAATATGAGATGACACTATTGAACGATTATTGTTATTGTATGGAATTGGTTTTCTACAAGAGCTTCTAGAGTTATGAGACTCTACAAGAACTTGTGAAAAATGGTTTATGGTTGAAAATTGTTCATTGTACCAAAAATATTTTCTACAAGAATTTTGGGAAGTATGTGATTCTGCAAGAACTTGGGAGAAACGGTTAATGGTGGAATGAATTATTAGTTGTATATTGGTTTCACTTATGCATTAAATTACTGTTGTTGCTTAAACTTGAGATATGTTTAAATGTCCCTGTTTTCTTTCAAAAATTAATATATGATATTTACAAAATGAGACCGACTTGCTTTACATGTTTTCTAAATCTTGTTCGAGTTTGAGAGGAATGTTGCTATAGAGTTTAGTGCTCATCCCCTGCAAACAATATATTTACAGATTACGTGTTAGATGAGGAGCTCAGAGTCGATGAACAGGTGCATCGGGAAGCTCTGCTAAACAGGCACGTGGAACTCGAGGTGGATGCTTAGGGTT